TCTGCGGAGTTGCAGGCTATTTATTTAGCCTTAAAGTATATAAATCTAAAAGGTCATCGTTGCTGCGTGATTTACACTGACTCAGTTAGTGCACTTCAGGCTTTGATCTCGTATGAACGTAGTTCTCACTCCATAGTTATTAAAATTCGAAAACTAATTTGTCATCTCACTACGAGAAATTTTTTTGTGAAGTTCTGTTGGGTCCCAGGCCACGTGGGTATAAGAGGTAATGAAGAAGCTGATACAGCTGCTAAGTCAGCAAGTCCTTCACAGCATACAATGCGTATTGAAGGAAGTAATTTGAAGCTAGTTGTTTAAAAAAACGACTAGCAGAGAGATGGCAAATCATGTGGAATGCACAAATCCACAATAAACTTCACGAGATCAAACCTTTGATAGAAAATTAGACACATAATAGGCAATATGATAGGAGATCTGAGGTTATCCTTACTCGTTTGAGAATTGGTCACACTCGACTGACTCATAAATACCTTTTGAAGGGAGATGACAAACCAGTATGTCAGCACTGCAACTGTGCTGTAAGTGTTAAACACATATTTTGCAACTGTGTTGCTTTTGATCAGAGTCGTAGACAGCATTTTGGAAATGCAAGCCTTAGAGACATTTTGGGCCAGAGGCCAAACTTGGATAATATACTGGACTTTCTAAAAGTCATTAATATGTATAGGGAAATCTGATGAATTAATTATTGTACAGTTTTATTTACTTTGAGTTGCGTATTTAAATTATTGTATATATATTTTGTTGTTGTTTGTTTACTTATTTTTGTTGTTGTTTATTTATTTATTTTTGTTGTTATTTATTTATTTATTATATTCTAGATTTTATATTTATATTACCATTGGCTTCTTAATGGTTAAACTGTGATGTTTCGTTTGTGTATATATGTTCCCTTATTTATTTTCTACTTTCATTTGTACCATGTGTCGTGACGCAGTATAGCCTGCATGGCTTTTGTGCCAATAAAAAATTAACCAACCAACCAACCAACTAAATGCCAATTCTCGCTTTGAGAAAAAAACATATAACATCTATTAATTTAGATATACAGTATCTATTAGCTGTAATTATCTCGTTATAATTTTCAGTATTGTTTTATATTATTTACTAATGTTAAATTCTATTCCGCTTTGATTTCCAAATTGCTTCAATTTTACGAAAGAATCGATGTGACATTTACGATCTTCGTGTCTTTTGTCAGCTTTACTTAAATTATTTAAATCGTCAAAGCCACTCATATTCCACACACGAATTTTATTTGAAAATAGTAGGCAAGGCCAACAAAACAATTTTTGAATTTTTATGAATCCACAAAGCCATTTTACTTCTTCATAAATAATTTTATCGTGAAAATGTTGAACAAATTTTTTGTTGACGTATTTATATTTAATTTAGACATTGGTCTTTTTCTTTTAATAATGTTTTTTTTTTTTTCATTATACGGTCTTGAGCCAAAACTTTTTTCAAATAAATTTTCAATATCACAATTACATTATAAATCGCTAGCCATAATATAAGGGCTAAAATTAAAAATAAAATTATAAAAACTTACTTGTTAAAATAAAATGTGTGATGGATATACAATTATACATACCTGGTACAAAATATTCGATTATACGAATATACTTTTAAAGAAAATTATAATTAAGTATAGTTTTGTGAAGAAACGTACATAAAAACAACAAAATATTATTTACTTTTTAAATGTTAAAATAATCCACTTAGTCAAATAGCTTCCTATGAGTGGCTAACGGATGAAATCAGAGACAGTCCTCGTAGGTGTGCAGCGCATGCATGCACGCGAGCTGCCAAATCCCGAAGATACCGATACTAATCAATGTCAAATGCCTCTTTTGTCGCATCACTAGTATACCTCAAAGGATGCAACAGGGTTGTATATTTCAAACGTTTCTCGCCATAGCTGTAAAAATTTAAATATGTTAAACTTAATAGTCATTTGGGTTAATGTGTACCTAGATAACCCTAATGGCAGCGCTTCCGACCGTTCGTGGGCCCAATGGACTCCTTCTGGAGGGGAGTTGTAAGGTTTGCCGACGTTGAGGGAAAATAAAGTCTATCTCGCGTAAGAATGGGCCTAATGGAAACTGCGTATGTGGGCGATGGCGAAGGAGGCAAATGATGTACAAGTGTTTTACAAGATAAAACCCGTTTATTTGTTCGAATTCATGCTTACATCGATAATGGACAATTTCAAAATCTCGGTGCTCCTGGGAACGGCGAAAGATCGTGTGATCAGTCGCAGTTCGGGCGGACAAGGAGGATATCTGGATGAAGCAGAAGTTCGTTGTTACGTTGCGGCGTCCTTGGTGATTGGCGGATTCACAACGCAATCTAAATCACCACTGTAGGCTTAATCCGAAGGAGACTCTTCTTCGACCTTGAAGTTCCGATTTTTATAGTTTTTCCCGCACTATTCGCATTTCGGATTGGTCCCTCGTCCCGTTCCTCGCTTCTCGATTGATCTCTCCTTTGTCTCCAGGTGCAAGACAAAACTTTTTTGGGTTGTGGGAAAGGTCCGATTCAAGGTGTCCATCTGATACCTCTTTGTCGACTCTGCTCGGTGACTGTTTATAAAACAATAACACCTGCACTCATAACTCAGGCCGTTATTTACCATTTTTTGACGTCTAAGAATTGAACGATCATTTTTCATCTTTCATCTATCAAAAATTCCCCTTTTTTTGTTCGAAAGGTTTATCTCGGTCAACATTTTATAGACACGCGAGTCAAAGATCCACCTGTGTTATGAGCGCTCATGTTAGAGTTTGTCTTCAGCTAAGACCTTGACAGATAGTTTGATACATACTCGAACTGTCCCGAGTCTCGTTGTTTACATCTTGTGTCTTGCAAGAATTTCACGGTTTACTCGAGTTCGAACCTCGTCTGGGAACCCACAGAGTCGCTGGCAGGCCGCCTTGTGCCAAACGTCACCAGTTATTGATTGATGGTAGTTATTGAACAAAATAAAAAAAGAAAACGTCTACTAAAAATATAGTTAATCTAACCTAACCTAACTTAATTGAAGCGTTGACATCTTGGACTACCTAGGTACCAAATACGTGAGCCGTTCACAGCCCGGCACACATAATTGTAAAATCTAAATGACTAGTACAATGTGGAATTCATATAAAACAGAATAATCAACAGTGTTATGGGGGTCGCCTGTATAATGTGTGCTACACTTAAGTAAACCAACACAATCATACTAATAGTTCATAAATATTAAATGTTTTTCCACAATACTTTTAATAATATTTTACATAAGGATGTTTTGCAGATATTAGAAATATGAAAAGTTTTTTTTAGCAACATAAACTTTTCTCGTTTACTCTCTATTAGTGATGGGATATAATCCCACACCATGAGAGGCATGTCATCTCACAGACCTTATAGAGCTCAAAAAATGAAGATGCAATAGCACATCGAAAACTACAATTGGATCTTCCTTCTCTGCTTTTTTTCTTTTATCTAACAATAGTAATTACTTGTTGATTTGAGAGAAAGAATCGTTTGTTTTATAATGTAATATGATATTAAAAACGCATAAGTTTTACATATGAACTTTGAACTAGCGATAAATTAGCTTTAGTTACACAGACTGATATCAGATATGTGTTAAATTATAGAGAAATGCGTGATTTTTCAAAGTCAGGGTATGAAAACTTCAAACATTTTCTCCACCATAGATTCAGTTCCACTCACACTGCGAATTGTTTTCTTGCTGTAAACAAGCTTTCTTAGTTAGAAATTGGTCAAACCACAATGTAATTATTTTATTATACACAGAAAAATGTTTGCTTTAACATTTGAGAAATAATGTTATCAGGAAAAATTCTGTAAATTTAATTTTAATTTATTATGCGGAATAATCAAAAAATACACATTTCATAAATTATTAGAAAATAAATTCAAAATTTGCGGCTGAATATTTAACTAGAAATATTTTCCATATGAGAAATAAAGCCGTTAAAATAATAATGCATGGTTCAACCAAAATTGGCAATTAGACTATATCCATGATGTCAAATGGGCAAATTAAAAGATAAATAAATTTAAAATCCAAATAAAATTTTCAAAGGAAGTGTTTTGATAAAAATGATCGAATTACACTAATCTGTAATAAACCAAAATTTCGATAGTTGCAAAATTCAAAGTATTACACTTTTTAATCTGGTAATGATGTGAGATAGCAATTCAAAAAAATTGCATTGAAAAAAATAAACGCAGTGGTCTACTTTAAATCAATTAACTTTATTTGCGTTTTTAAGGAAAATCATAGAATATATTAGACTCTTGTTAATTTATGAGAAATCTGGCAGATTAGTGAATGTGACAGATTTCTGAGCGATAAAATACATTATTATATTTCCTTTACTGTACACTTCAGTACAGTAAAGGAAATATAATAATGATGCGTATAATTGATTTATATTTTTTAATGTTTACTTTTATATGTCTAATAGTTATCTTTAATCTAAATAAATTTCTCAATAAATATTATCTACAATATAACTATTTTACATTTTTACTTTTACTGTTTTAGGATATAAGCTTATTACCTAAAGGCGATCTGACTATTGTAGGAGAAAGAGGAGTAATAATGAGTGGTGGACAAAAGGCAAGAATTAATCTAGCAAGGTTAGATATGTGTTACTCTGTATTTCTCTGAGNTTTTTAAGGAAAATCATAGAATATATTAGACTCTTGTTAATTTATGAGAAATCTGGCAGATTAGTGAATGTGACAGATTTCTGAGCGATAAAATACATTATTATATTTCCTTTACTGTACACTTCAGTACAGTAAAGGAAATATAATAATGATGCGTATAATTCATTTATATTTTTTAATGTTTACTTTTATATGTCTAATAGTTATCTTTAATCTAAATAAATTTCTCAATAAATATTATCTACAATATAACTATTTTACATTTTTACTTTTACTGTTTTAGGATATAAGCTTATTACCTAAAGGCGATCTGACTATTGTAGGAGAAAGAGGAGTAATAATGAGTGGTGGACAAAAGGCAAGAATTAATCTAGCAAGGTTAGATATGTGTTACTCTGTATTTCTCTGAGATTAATGATAGCAGTATGATATCAATGCGTAAAAGACATATAAACTACAATCATAAATTGCATTATAATAATATTTTAGTAACACTGTTATATATATTTTTTTCTAAATTTAATCATCACTATTGACAATTAACATTTTTAAAAATAAACGTTAGACTGTTTCCATACACAAAAATGTTGTTGTTTTATAAATAATTTAATTTGTCTGAAGTTTGTGAGTTATTCCTGATCTGAAGTAATTTTCATAACTTAATTTAGCAAATTTACTAAAATACTCCAATTTAACCAATAGTTCCTGATTCATTTTTTAACAAAAATAATTTTTTCATCATTTTTAGTTCATTTAATTGAATTAAACAATTTAATCTCTTGTTTTCCATCTGAAATAATTCTTTTTAACAAATAATGTAACAAAAAATTTAATGTAACAAATTATAATGTATTAAATTAAATTATAACAAAAACATATAATGTAACAAATTAATTAACATATAGAAATTAATAAGAAATTTTTGACTATACTAAAATTTCTAATTTATTTCTATACTAAAATTTTTTTCATAATTTTCAATCTTACAAATTTACTAAAATACTTAACTTCGTCAACATATTCTGGCGCATTTCTGATAACAAGTATATTTCAGTAACCTTTAATTTAAGAAACTCACTGAATTACTTTTGTGACCGACAGGTCAGCACCGGATCGGCAATGCCCATGTCATGATTGATACCACTGCATTTTAGAGAACACAGAAATTGCGAGGCGATTCGTTTCGTTTTACGCGCGAGCGGTCGCATGTGTAAGCTGTTGGATTCGTGAGATAGGACGCCCGAGAGACAGCGCATCCGAAATAAGTGCACACCAGAACTCAATTATAGAAGAATAATACCCGTTTAGATAAACTATTTACACAAATACATAGGATAACATAGAGTTCCGAGCTTCTATATAGCGTCATATAATCGATAAAACTTATACAGAGTAACATAATTGATTATGTTTTTTACAATAGTATTTTTCTTCTGGTTCCATATTCATTTCTGAATGTAGGACTAGTATTATAACAATCTCAATTGTGCTTCACGTGTTAGTTCTTCTGCTTTCTTATTATTCCATTCACATATATTACCTAACCAACTTTTCCTTCTCCTTCCTGGGCTTTTCTTTCCACAGATTTTTCCCTCTAAAATATTTCTCAAAATTTCATATTTACTTCCTCGGATGATGTGGCCAAAATACCCCGTCTTTCTTCTTTTAACTGTATTTAAAACTTCTTTTTCTTTCCCCATTCTTTCCAAAACTTCCTCATTTGTTATTCTATCTGTCCAAGATATTTTTAAAATTCTTCTATATAACCACATTTCGAATGCTTCAAGTTTGTTTAACGTATTTTTATCTAAGGTCCACGTTTCTACTCCATAAAACAAAACTGACATCACATAGCACCTTAACATTCTAATTTTAAGATGTAAATTAAAAACATTGCATTTGAAAAATTTCTGCATTCTGATAAAAGTACCCCTCGCATTTTCTATTCTAGATTTAATTTCTTTAATGCATCTGCCATCTTCCTGTATGATAGTCCCCAAATACTTAATTGATGAAACTGTATCAATTGTCCTGTTTTGTATCTGCAACGTTACATTATCTATATTTTTCTTGCATGAAATAAGTAGCTTTGTTTTCTTATAATTCATCTGAAGTCCATATAATTTACTTATTGAATTAATCTTTTCCATTAGTATTGTCAAATCATTTATATTTTCTGCTAAAACCACTGTATCGTCAGCATAACGTATATTATTTACATTCATCCCATTTATTACAATCCCAATGTGTTCCATATCTTCTAAAGCTTCTTTAAAAATTTCATCTGAATAAATATTAAAAAGTAAAGGTGATAAAATACATCCTTGCCTTACTCCTCTTTTTATTTCTATTTCTTCAGATAATTCAGAATCAATTGAAATGTTGGCCTTCTGTTCCCAGTAAAGATTTGTTATAATTTGCAATTCATTTCTATCAATTCCTTTCTTCCCAAGTATATCTATTAATTTATCATGCAGAATTCTATCAAATGCTTTTTCGTAGTCTATAAAACAGGCGTATATATCCTTGTTAACCTCTAAACTTCTTTCTACCAGAACTCTATAAGCAAAAAGAGCTTCTCTTGTTCCACAAGATTTTCTAAACCCAAACTGTGTGTTGCTTAAATCTTCTTCACATTTTTTATATATTCTTGTATGAATTATTCTTAAGAAAATTTTTAAAACGTGACTCATCAGGCTTATAGTTCTATAATCACCACACTTTTTTGCATTATCTTTTTTGGGAATTGCTATAAACGTAGACATTAAAAGATCTTGAGGAATTACACCACTTTCGTAAATAATGTTGTAAAAATCCACTAAAATATCAAGACTATCTTCATCCAGTAATTTCAAAATTTCAGCGGGAACTTCATCTGGTCCGGTAGCTTTACCTTCTTTAGTTGTTCTAATTGCATTCTTTACTTCTACTTTTAGTATTGTTGGTCCTTCTTCTTTATCAATTATTATAGGTTTTAAATTTCTCTCGTCAAAATATAATTTTTCAACATACTCTTTCCATAATTTCAGTTTTTCCCCCAATTCCAAAACTAAATCATCCTTTTCATTTAAGATACTAGTAAATTTATTTCAATACAATAGTATTAAGTATTATTTTAACGGGTCCCTAGCCGCGCACGAGATAGAGTTTAGATTTCTACGCGTGGCTATAAATACCTTGTTCGGTCGAATCTTGAATTTCGTCGGACTGTCGTTAATCTGTTGCAACCGGGTAGAAATGTTGAAGTTCGTTGGGTTGCTGTATGGAGAAATTCGAATGTCCGAAAAGAACAGCTACAGTCCGGGGAACAATGGCGGTGGCCGGGATCGGTGGCGGAAGAGATCGGCGGGACGAGAATGTCTGGAATATCCTTTCTCCAGGAGGTGGATCGTAGAATTCTCTGTTGCCATCGATTCTATTATCTTTATTTCGGGGAGTCTTTCCCCTTTGATTTCGATGCCCTTTTTAGGCAATGTTAAGTTTTTCGACAAATAGTGATTTTTTTGTTGTTAGGTTTCCGTGACACTTATGATGTCTCACCTGGAAAAGGAAATGACTTCAGTGAAAGATACGATCATATTCTCCGACAATTAAATTATTTTTTCGCTGGGAAAATTTTACCACAATTTAACTATCGATAAATTTAATTTCCTTCTTTCACCCAAAAAATTTATTTGTCAAGTCCTGGCTCTCACACTTTAATTAAGAAGGAATTTTTTAACGAATTTGAAGTGAAAAATTTATTTCTACATTTTAATTTACTTACCTAATTTTCTAAAACTATTAAATCTGGCAGAGGATTTTAACTCATTTGTGATTAGAGGTACTTTTTTTGTAAATTTGCATTTAACAAATTTAATAAAATTTTTAACTGGTTAGAGATTTTTTGCTTTGGTTTTGATTCGATGTAATTTTTAACAATTTATAAATAAGAAATTTTGCCTAATTGTTTGTACTCGAGGGAAATTGATGCTATTTAATTTTAGTGGTGAAAGGTCAAGGGAAGTGGGAAATTAAAGGGGGTCGGGTTTATGTCCAGTAGGATCAGAGTAAATGAAGATTTTACTCATTACTAACATTTATACTTCTTGTGATTCCTATTTTCAGTTTCAAAATTAAGCACGTTACGATTTTATAGTTATTAATATTTATTAACTTTCTAAAACCAAATTTCATAACAGACGATGTTACACACATTTTTATTAAGTAATACAAGTAGGCCTATAATTATATAAGTAATCATTTATTAAAATTATAAAACTGAATTCCCGAAATTATATATCATAGCAGCGGTAATCGTTATCTAACACGTTGCTGGAAGTTTTTATTTCAAAACAATGATTTTTTTCAATCTTTTCATATTTATATTTTATCGATATTTAGCTTCACATAGGTGGAGAACGACAGGTTGTACGAAACTTTTGTGGCAACAGTCAGTGGTGTTGTTTGTTATGATATTTTATTCAAAAAGATACTCTATTACAATTTTCATGTTGACTCAGGACATTATCTTCATATATTTGAAGTTTAGACTATTAAAAAATATATAATATTCTCGAGTCTATCTTTATCCATTAATCCAATCACAGAAGTTTTTATCTTTGCTAAGAAGTTTTATTTTTCAAAATCATTGTAACTATTATTTCTGTGGTGGATTATAGGATAAAGATAGACTCGAAAATATTATATTTTTGTCAATAGTTTATACTTCAAATATATGAAAATACTGTATTTATATTTGTAATCATTATAAAATGGCAAAAAGCTTAATTTTCAAACGTGGGATGTGTTTTATGAAAATTCTTAAATGATAATAACAAGTAAACTCATCATTAAGTCCTATTCTATTATAGGTACCGTACATACGACCTACTTTATCTATCCACCCCATCGACCTATAATCACCAAAACTTAAAGGCAATAATTACTTAAAGGCATTAATTACTTAAATTAATTAATTACTTACAAAACTTAAAGGCATTAATTAATCCTCTAATACACAAACTTTTCTGCAATATTTCAGAAATTTTTGATTAAAAAGCTCAGGAATTATTAAACTTCAAAGAGGGTGAAAAAATCGTGTCCTAAGCGAAACCCAAATTCCATACATAAAAACATTATTCTAGAATTTTTTGAATTTTTCGACGTTTCAAGGTGTTCTGAATCCAAAAATATAAAAATTTTGAGAGAGTCATTTTATGACTATTTGCCACACTTTCCCTCTGTTATTTATAACATCCGGGAAAGTAAAAATAACTAACCAGAAAGACAACAATCTATTAAACTAATTGTAATTTTAAATCTCTCCTCTGCAAAGCGTCATTTGTTTTGCTGTAAAATCATTATTTTATGATATATTTAAATATCTTCTAGAGCACTATATGTAGATGCAGATATATTCCTGTTCGATGATCCACTAAGTGCTGTCGATGTTCCTGTAGGAAAACATATCTTCGAAAAGTAAATATTTAAATGTTATTTATGGTATATTTGAATATGTTTGAACTTTATATTTATTTCAGATGCATAATGGAATATTTGAAAGAAAAGATTTGCATCTTAGTTACACATCAAGTACAATTTTTAAACTCTGAAAATAAAGTTTTAGTGTTATGCAAGGTGAATATACTAATTGTTTATTAGTTTTGTTTTGTTAATTATTGTTTTAATTAAAAACTACATTGTGTTTTATTTATCATACATGACTTTAACATTACTAAGTTCAGAATAACAGAAAAAATTAATAAAATTATAGTAATAGGATTTTTGAATTAAACCACCATCAAATATATACACATTATGTTTTGAAATTCCGATACTGTCGAAACAGATACTGGCATCGATACTTTTGTGGTATCAGCATATCCTTAACTATATGGTAAAGACATGGCAATTATGTCCAATATATAGGCTATCTGCCAATTAATATTATTGTTGAAAACAATGTATTTAAAAGAATAATCTTATGAATGTTAGATGATGAAAATATGGAGAACCCCTCTAGATTAACTCGGTTGTCATGTTTTGTTTAGTGATTTCTATCTACTCAGACACTGATGAGTTCCAGAACTGTTATATTTTCCTTCCATATATGGCAGTAAATAAAGAATAGTGATTGACACTAATTAAATAATTTATCTGTAAAAATACCGATAATCAGATATTTTTTAGCGAGAAAGAATTGATAATATAAATTTTTATTTTCATACATTTTTTCGTTTAGTAATGATTTTATATATAACTAACATAAATCCAACTGTATTTATACATATTATTAATTATTTTAGGGAAAATGTCAACACATTCAAAATTACAATGAAATTGAAAATATAAATACGGTTATAGGAATTTCGTCAGACGAAGGAGCTGCAGGAAATAGCATTGAATTAGATACTGCACTTTTCAACGATGACGATTTAATTGAAAATTCTGAAGCCGATATGTCTGATAACACTGAAGACTGTAACAACATTAATGCAGTAAGAATTACTTATTTATTAGAAAGTAATTTATAAAGTTTTGATTGAGTAACACTTATTGATACATCAAGATACTTAACTCTTTCTAAAAAACCTTATATAAATTAATACTGTTAATTTGTCCGTCATAGATGCCGATGTTTTTTCTACATCTACGATTAGAACTTGATTTTCTGCATTTTGTTTACCATCTAACAATATTAGGCACATATAAATTGAAAAACTACGTTTTTCTTTCCGCGGCTGTTATATCATAACGCTGGAAATTACTGTAATGATCTCAGATTTTTACTTTTTCATTACATTTCTGACTGTTTTAATGTAACGTGGATTGCATTCCCGACTGTTATGATATCGTAATCGTGTCATATTTTACTTTCTGGATTTTGGAATAATGTCTTGACACCTCTGAACCTCAAATAGTCGATAAACTCATACATGGAATGGTGTGTGTGTTTCATTTAATATCTCAGGATGAAATAAAGGGTAGGAAATAAAATTTGCCACTGTAACTTGTATATAAGACACGTTGATGCTATTAAATTTTGGTAGTTAAATGTGAAGGCAGTGGAGAGATAGAGGTGGTATCATTTATCATATTGAAGAGTGATTCGACTAAATGAAGATTTTACTAATTACTAACATTTTTTATGAAAGTCATCTCTAAACTTATAATTAGGGGAGATCGGGGCAACTTCGGCAAGCGGGGCAAGTTTGTCAAGCGCTTTTTTAAAAAAACAAATTAAAAGGAGACTTTGGTTATAGGTTAGGCAGTTGAGTTTTATTGGTGGCTTGTTGAGTGTAGTGTTTTTATTGTTCTCCAACAAGCGTAGTTGAATTATCAAGCAAATTTTCATTTTCGTTCAATTCCATATAATATTTTTTTTCCATTTATATTGAATTGGCAGGTTTTGTTATAATTCCATGATAACGAAAGTTACTTTTCCTGTTAGAAGGATGTAACTTCAACTTATTCACGTGGCCAGATCGTGGCTTGGCATTCTGTTCTCAGGGTTGTACTTAATGTTTCGAAATCATGACTAGCGGGGTAAGATCGGCAACATAAAGCCACATTAGAAGCAAAGGATAAAAATCAAACAGATGATAAATGAAAACATGTTTGCATTTGTTATTCATGTATATATGTCTTTGAACTTGCATTTCGTTGTAATAATATTAAATGGGTGTTGGATTTGTATTTCTTTGTTTTAATAGTGAATTCCAACTTATACATTGTTAATAACATAATTTTATATACGTGCCTATCTTGCCCCATTACTGTTGCCCCTATACCAGGGGCAACTTTAATAAAAATAATTAAAATAATTACAACTTTACAAAAAGAGAGAAGTTGCCGATCTTGCCCCTATACCCGGGGCAACTTCGTCAATTTCTCTCTTCTTGTAAAGTTGTAATTATTTTAATTATTTTTATTTCCAAACTGATTTTAACCAGTTCTATAGTAAGGTAACATTCCAATAGACAATATGCAAAGCTTTTTTTTCAGTTTACAGCAGTATTTATTACACAAAATTTAAGTAAAGCTTAACATGCCGATCTTGCCCCGATCTCCCCTAATTGTTTTGCCATATTATAATCATCAATCATCAATGTCAATATATATTATATAAGTAAGTGTACAATGTGCATGCCGCTAAAACTCAAAAATGAGTCCCGTTACGATCAAGGGAGTTATATGGTGTGATAGCCCTCTATCCCCCATCCATGAAGAGGGTTCCCGTTATTATCTGAAGGGCGTGCTGTTGAAGATATAAGGGCTGGAAATTTCGCCCTCTAGAAATTTCTAGAACAGTCCAGAACATTCGAAAGTATTCGAGAGCATTCCACAACATTCCAGAACACCCTCGAATGTTGTGGAATGTCCTGGAACATTGTGGACCATTCGAAGCCTTTTTTGTATGGGTAGGACTACCCATTGATGGGTTATATAAAGCAAGATCCGTTGTGGGTTCGAACATCAGTTTCTTATCAGTGATGAAGGGAAGAACCGAAAAAGAAATGAAAATTCCAAAGTAGTGCAATGGGTGAATAAAAACAAACAGTGAAGTGTGAGTAGTCAAAGTGATACAGCAACTAAATATAAATAGAAAATAAAGTGTGAAAACTGTGTAAAGTGTACTTAGTGTAAATAACGTAACCAACACCTTATTGTTTGCTGAGGGAGTTTTATTAAAAACGAACGTTTTCGATCCACTTAACGGATCATCATCAGGCTAGAACATACGAAAATGGAATACATCATAAATGGAACAATAAGTTCAAAAATTCAAAAATATCAATAAGCTGATAATATATCAATTAATAAGAATAAAAAATAAATTGTAAACGATACCTATTAATAAATAATATACTACAAAAACTAAACATTAATACGATCTATCATAGCTAAATAGAAGCTACTAAGTTTTCTTTAAATAAAATATGATATATATTTGATTATATTGATTATGAAATATATATCATATTCAACTGAAATATGATATATATTTGATTTAAAGAAAACTTAGTAGCTTCTATTTAGCTATGATAGATCGTATTAATGTTTAGTTTTTGTAGTATATTATTTATTATTAGGTATCGTTTACAATTTATTTTTTATTCTTATTAATTGATATATTATCAGTTTATTGATATTTTTGAATTTTTGAACTTATTGTTCCATTAATGATGTACTCCATTTTCGTATGTTCTAGCCTGATGATGATCCGTTAAGTGGATCGAAAACGTTCGTTTTTAATAAAACTCCTTCAGCAAACAATAAGGTGTTGGTTACGTTATTTGTTTACTTTTGCTGGGTACGATTGTATTCAGTACTTAGTATATTTGTTAATAAAAAGTTGATTTGATATATATTTTATACAATTCCCGAACTTAAAAGAGGAAGAGCTCTTGCCAGTTCTGAAGCAAAACAGCGAAAACAAAAAGAACAGCGAAAAAACGAAACAGTCAAAGAGCGTGAGGCACGTTTACGTTCCCAACAAACGAGAATGAGCACCGTGAGAAGTAGAGAAACCGAAGAACAACGAAATGAACAAATTGAAGAATCAAGAATTGCGACACAATCTTATAATAAAAGACTGCGAACGCAAGCCATCCATGCAAATATCACCCTTCGAGAAGCGCGGACAAGGACAAGTAAACAGTACAACCTAACAAATGGAGCATTCCACTACGACCTGACGAAAGAATATAGAAAACACAAACACGTCGTAATCGGAAAAATGGATAACATCTGCAGTTTTGCAACGCGAAAAAATTTAGTGAAGAAACACCAGAATTCTGTTGCATGAATGGAAAAATTCCATTACCACTACTGGAAGCACCTCCGCAGGAATTTCTACATTACACAACCGGGGAAACTCCCGAATCGAAACACTTTCTTCAAAATATAAAAGCTTACAACGCCTGCTTCCAAATGACTTCTTTCGGTGACACTTCGATCAACACTAACAGAGATGAAATCGATTATGTTTTTTCCATCAAGGACAAATCTATCACAAAATGGGATCACTACTATCACTACTCAACGAAGACCATAAATTTCTGCAAGTATATTTCACCGGAAATGAAGAAAGAGGAATTGATCAACGATGCACAAATATCAGTGGATTCAGACGAGAAATAATCCAAGATGTACAGAGGATCCCAATAAACTGATTCACATATTCAAAACAGCACTAGACCGAATGATTTATTATGAATATAAAGTTATAATTTGAGCCGACAAAAGACCACCTGGAGAACACGAACGTCGATTTAATGCACCTCAGATAGGCGAAGTCGCTATCGTAATTGTGGACAATGAAAACACAAGCCGTGACATAATTGTACAACGAAGAAGAGAGGGACTACAACGCATTGCAGAGACATACCGTTCATATAATGCCTTCCAAAAGACTGCAATTTCCAATCAAATTAGCCTATAGTTTTACAATTAAGAAAGCACAAGGACACACTTTAAAATATTGCGGCATCAACCTCAAAGACTCCTGCTTCTCTCACGGTCAACTATACGAGAGCTTGCTCTCGAGTAGGAAATTCGAAAAATTTGTACATATACTGTATACCCCGGATTACAAAATGAAAAATGTTGTTTGTAAACAATTATTGTAAATAGTTAGAATATGTTTTCAATAAAATTTTTTTACCTCTAACATTTTAAAGTTTATCCTTTTATTCCAACTACCACACAATCTCATATAACTCCGTGAGCGAAGCCGGGTATCCCAGCTAGTAATTAATAATATAAAAACTTTTTATGGCAAAACTTCATTACAGATGGCACTACACACAAATTTATCTGTACTAATATATAAAGCGAGAATGACTGCTTGATTGTTTGTTTGTTAGTCATAAGCTTGGAATCTATAGGACCTATTTTTTATAGTTTTTTCTCTATTGGAAAGCTTACGTTATCCAATAAACAGATTTCTATATTAATTAAGAAAAGAAAATACACGAAAACATTCTCTTTTACCGCGGCTTGTCTGTCATCCTAGTTTGTCTATCCCTTTCGACACAAGCTGTGTTTTTGTGTATCTTATATTTTCGGTTTCGGTTTTCATTCGTGCAGTTTGGGTACTTTTGTATATGCTTTGTTTATATTGCTTGGTCGTTTGTTTCTTATGATAATAGTGTCATGTTATCTGGAACTTATAACTATAAGGAGAGAGGAAATTCCTATTTGTACTTCATCTCTTCAAATACGGCTCGAGATGTTTCAAATGTACAGTATGTTCCAAATACGAGTATATATCCACACTCAAATCGTTTTCTATATACATTTTATTTACAAAAATACAGTTTATCATTACACTATTCTGTAACGATTTATACACTAACAATCAAGGGTAAGTTGGAATAATTGAGACCCATAATGTCTGTGTTCCTCCTTTCACTAATTTACTGGTTCATTCATACATATATAACTCTCTTTAATCCGAAAAAATTATAAGAATTTCGGTAGATTATCTTACTGCCTGTAGGTCAGGAACATTTTTTATTGAAGATACAGGTTACGTAGGCATTTCGCGCTTTATTATCTTTATGCCCCTCTTCAGTGCTATACAAAAAAAGGTTTTCCACGATTTTTTCTTACAAATCCTTCTGCCACACTAATATGACACTTCTGGATTTTTTTACATTATTCACCAATCCTTTAAAATGGACGTATATCATATTACATTAAAATTCTAAACAATCACTAAACACTCCCAAAAATACATTTTTAATATCATCAGCAGTAGGGTAACGACATTAATACTTTTTCTCAACTCACAGTACATCGTACTTTACATTATTGTGTATGACCCTTACATTATAGGGAAAGTTTACCATCCTTACAATGGCCAAACTGTATATAGATTTAGTTTATCAAACAACAAGATTACTTTGTTCTTCTCTCGAATTAATATTTTGCAAGGAGGAAATTTACTTTCCTTATATGTAACAAAACTTTTGTGTATAGGCCTAGAGCATTTTTATGCGTTCACTGTTTTACTATTAATCATACCATTATTTCAAAATAAGAATTAGTCTTATATTGTCAGATATCTACCGACATAAATTGAGTTATTACGATTACTTTTTAGGTGTACGCATATGCGTGTGAGCATGGTTGATGATAATTGCCTAAAAGCAAGTTGCAATTGTCATGAAATACATCCGTGTCAAGAGACCGTTGAATGACATACTTTCCAATGTACTGTACGTGAGCCACCTTAAAACTTGAGCACCACTCTTCCTGTTGAATTTATCTTTCCTACAAACGCCCAATCTCTTGATTAATTTTTTCATAGGTACAGTACCTACCTATAGGGAACTTGGACTACCATAAAACTCGGAATCTTAACTTCTCACCAGTTTCATCCTGTATTTGAAAGCTACCAAACCTTTGGAGCAACGTAAAAAAATTTTGCATAGTTATTGTCTATTTTCTTCCAAAACGAGAATTGCTACTTCAAAACTTGAATCATAACTGATTTTCCTAACATTTAAGTGATTTGCACTAAATTTTGCATAGAAGTATTAAAAATCTCAGCATGCTGATAGCACTTCTCAGCACTTCTGTTCAAAATCTGAAGCAACTTCTCGTTACTACCAGAAAACTGCACGAGGTGCTGAATATGCCAGCAAACAAGATGGTATGATGAGATTTGTAAGAGCTGAGTTTTGCGTTGGCAATTTTGTATTTAATTTATATGTTTATAAACGTATCTTGAATAAATTATAATTAGTACAGTACATTAATAAAATATTTTAATATTGCACTATATTTACATATGTCATCACACAATTTCTTTACTTGTTAAATTGTAATCTCAGAGTTGACTTCGTTATTTTTAACGCCTGCAGAAATTAAAAGATCTCCATCTCAATGTTTTTCGAAATATTCATATTTTATTTAGTTGTTCTCATTAAATAAATTCAAAAATAACTTTAATGTAGCTTGGAAATCCACACCATGTGCCATCTTTTTGTTTTCTTTTAGGATATTTTGGCAGCTGGCGTCTGTTCTCTCTCGAGAACGTCAGAAATTGAGTCACACTCTGCAGCATCTCACTGAATTGATGCTAAAAATTTGAATATGCCCGTAGTTACTCTCTGTCATCATATAGCAAACCTACCATACCTTACGAGAAAAAGTCAACCCCATCTATGGTTTTTCGAACCGCGCTGGGCATTCCGTTCTAATTTATTATATATGTTATTTTTAAAATGAAATCGTTTAATTAACAACCTGGAAATTTATGCAACTCGTTGCTAGATTTATGTTTATTTTAATACAGTTCGATCCAAAACTGCAAAAATATTTAACTTGTTATAATTTATTTGCAGTTTCAACAATTGATATTAGGTCTGTGTTAAATTTCAGAGGAAAGTGTTATCTTTCAACGATACAATGTCATTCCTTGTAATTTTATATAATTACCTTTTGTGTTTCAGATCAAATTACATTAAAATAAACATATATTAAGCATTTTTGTCAATTTCAAATATTTTATATTGCATTGTACCTAGGCCTATAGTATTTTATGCGTTCATTGCTGAAATTGTGGATATAATCATTCTTGAGCTATAGATAATTTCAGTTTTTAGAAAAACACTGGCATTTGTGAGGTAACTCAAAAAATGCATACATAACACGGATTGACAAAGGGGTTAACAACAGGAAGCTATCTACAAAGAAATAAAAAAGGGTATTTATTTATCAGATATTGGCACCCAGCTTTATTACTTACAGAGGTATGCTTTACAAAATGTTGAATAAAAAATTATACTTTAAATATGTTTTACTTCTTAAATTTGTAATAAAATATTTTGTAACGAATTGAAGCATAATCAAATGAATGCTCATATAATGTTTGAAATTTTTTGCTGTAGGAAGATGAAGGTAAAAAAATACCACAAGATGATGAAGGAGTTGGAAAAGTAGGACTTTCAGTTTATAGAGAATATTTCAATGCTGGAAAGGGATTCTTCTTTAAGTCTGTTCTATTAGTTACACTAATTGTATCACAAGCTAATATAAATGCAAGTGACTTTTGGCTAGTCAAATGGTATGTTGTTTTTATAAGTAATGTCAGAATTAATATTAATATGTAAATATGTGTTTTTTTATATAAATTGTTTAATGAAAAACAAATGACATTATTTACTTCATACATAATTGATGAACAATTTTTACAAATAGCAATGGATGTATTTAATTCTTCCATCATTAAATGTTTTCATGTACAACATTATACTCTGGTATTCTGAATAAAATTATGAAGAAAAATAATACAAATTATTTTGAAAGAATTCAAAAGAATTTATTTCATATATACATTTTAAATAAATAAATTTACTTTGCAATTTAAATTCAAAATTTAAAGTCAGTAAAATTAAAATTTCGTAGTTTATTTAAGAACTTTACCGAACTCCTCCTATTTTTATAATGAAAGAGTTTTCTGAAAAAGTCAATAATAATTGCTTGTTGTTTATAATGCTTCATTAAGATATTGAGTGGGCTGTAAGAATAGTACAAAAAGATACTTGACTTGCATAATATCTTGTTTCATTCTGGAACTTTGAACCAACAGATTTTAACGTGTGTTCATAGAAAAGTCACAAAATGTCAGTATGTACAATGTCGCCCAATCATTCTAGATAAATTTAAACGGTTGCAGTGTCAGTCACAATATAAAGGATAGCAATGATGTTCACACATATATGTTCAGTGATAAATTATGAGAATGTGGCTTAAATTTGCATTGATGTAATTTATTTAACCATATGTATTACTTTTATATAATAAATTCAAGTATTTTTTATGTATTTCTATTCATTATAAAAATATTGTGAATTCCAAAAATTTAATTCTTATTTCATGTGTAATTTTCAGGTTGTATAAGAAAAGAATCTATGGACAAAGTACAGTGAAACCGGAAAATATTACGTTTAACGAAACAATTTTTAACAATACTGAAGAAGAAAACTTTTATTATAGTGAAGCATACAACATATACGTTTACTTCGGAATGATATGTGTAGTATTTTTCGCGATGATACTGTCTGCAATATTAATGTATGAAATGTTTATAGCTGCATCTATAGAGCTGCACAATAATATGTTTCAATGTATTATTCGAACGCCAATATCATTTTTGGATAATAATCCCGTTGGTATGTATAATATATTTATTTAATTCATTCTTAACTTAAAGATTTAATAATGTTATTGAGGTGAAACGTTTTCGATATTAAGCCAAAATTAGAAAATTAGACATTTCTTATATATTTGCATTTTACCTAAATATTTTAATAGTAAATATCATTAAATCATATAATAGACATGGGAAAATGCGGCTCTTGCTTAAATTGTTAATTTCTGCATTTTATTATTATTTTTACACTTTTATTTTCCCATTTTTTAAAAATATGTTTATTAAAAAAATCAATATTTGTTTTATGTTTATTTATATTACATAATAAAATTGCGGTACAGAACTGCGGTACACAATTTAAAAAGTACAGAAGTGCGGCTCTCATGCATTTTGCAAAACCTACATTTTAGCTCCCACTGAACTTTTGCTTGCCCACTCCTGTCATATAACAGATAGCCGAAAACAGAATTTTACAGTTTACGTTTTAGAATTAGTTATGAAGTTTGATAGTTTATTTTGCTACTAATTATATTATAAAAAATCTATAATACAATTAATAGCAAATTAATTACAAAGGATTAATCATAAATAATAATGTAATGAATAAATATGGGAAAAAATTGAATAATGGAATTAAATTTAGATACGCGTTCATTTTTAACAAGAAAAACTTTGAATAATCTATTATTGATAGACTGAACGTTGTAATCTGAAGTAAAACATTAACCTTTTAACAACTCTTTTTAGATTTGAGAACGACCGGAAATTTTATGATATCATTTAAGTGGAGAATAACCTAAAAAATTTCCGTATATAAGACTAAAATGTTTTCATATTCGTCATGTCAAATCACTAGGAAGAACACTCTTTTATTGTAGAGCTGACCTGTTATTTGATGCTATGCCTCTGCAAAACATGGAAACAGTCTAAAAAGTTTACAGGCCAACAATTGAAAAAAATACATAATTTCTTTCAGAAAAATGATTGACGAATTTACACATTAAAAAATTTCTGTAATTTGACATTACAAAAATGAAGACATTTTAGTCTTAAATACGGAACTTTTAATTTGTAAATTTGTCAGCCATTTTTTATGTTAAATAAGCTGCTTGTCAGTTTCTTAAGTCTGCTAGTTTTGTTATATGTAAACGGAACTTCAATTTAATTAATTTTATCGTTGAGTACAATGATTCAACTGCATACGTTGATCCAAAAATTGACAGTAAACGATATGCTGTATTTTTTAAATTGTTGTACCAGGTACTAAATTATTGGTACACATTTCCAAAATTCATTGATTGAGTTTGCTGATTTATGTAACATTTAGAGACTTTGATCTTTTTCCACTTCATTTAATTCTAATTCTCCTGATACCGTTTCAGGAAGTAAAATTTTAATAATGTAAAACCATTGTTAATCATGCCTATTTTAAATGGATTTAATGAAAATGCAATTTATGGTTTTAATGCTACTAAATCTGCAAATCGTTCTTCAAAATCGTTCAACAGTTTTTTTTTTAAATTTTGCTTGAGAGTAAATGATGGTTGCAAGAGGAATATCAGAATCTGAAACAGCTTTTTTTAAGCGAGAAAAGTGATTGAATGTCTTATCTATTATATCCTTTTGGAAAAGTTGTTTTTTTCTCCTAAAACTGAAAATTCAAATTTTTAAATGTTCCATTGTATCGGTGAAGAACATTAATTAATTAAGTCATTCACTTATTCTTTATCTTTTAACTGCGTATATGATCGCTTTTCTTTATCTAGAAAGTCAATAGTACGTTCCAGCAATACTACAAACCTGTTCAGTACATCGTACGTTGGTAACCACCTCATCATTTAGTACAATAATAAATCATTTATTTCTTCATTTAAATCGAGTTCAGCAATGAAATCTCGAAACTGATGGTAGTTTTTTGCGTTTGCTCGAATAAACTTTTCGATTTTAATGAGCATGTAAACATGTGAATAAAATTAAAGTGTTTCGAAATTATAAATTAAAGTGTAATGCAAAAATGTAGTGTGTGCTAGCATCAAATTTTAAGAACATTAGGTGCTGTTTGGATGCGTTAACTTTGGATTTAAAAAAAAAAAAAAACATGAACTAACTGTCGCTCCGGTGTATTTACAAAATACAAAAGCTTTTAAAAATAACAAATATGTTTTTATTTGTTAGTTGATCTACAATTAAGTTCTTGAAGAGTTACATGCTGCTCACCAGCCAGAGTTTGAGAATCGTTGTATTATACAACATTGCGGATTAAACAAACCACATTTTCTGTCAATAACATTGCTGTTATAAAACCTTGTGGCATTATTTCTTTTTATTTAATCCAATCTCATTAAGCCTAAAGGATAGTTTATATAAAGCGTATATTAAAGTTTTTATGATGTTAAGATAAACTTCCTGTATTTAAATACGCTGTATCGATAAATACGTACAGGTACAAAGTTTCTGGTATGAAAAAAGTTAAGCATGTCAACCTGTGAAACATTAACCATACAGATATGCTGCGTTGTATTCCTATAAATAATAATGATACTGGAATAAATATATTTTACATAAGCGGTTATTGTAATTAATATTTTACATTTTGATATTTTTTAGGAAAAATCTTAAATCGGTTTTCCAAAGATGTGAACAATATGGATGATTCCTTACCTAACTCGTTTAGCAATGTGATAAAAGTAAGTTTAGTTTAATTGTATAAATAAATATAAAAAAAGATATAATTGTTTAAAATAAATATAAAAAAGGAATCTACAGCTACTAAGGTATATATTTATAAATTAACAGACCAGCTGTTTTATTTGTAGAAATAAAACAGACAATAGAAAAAGAAGCAATGAATTCTACTTTTCAACGTACTCACTGCCAGTGTTTATGTAGTTATCCCAGAAATAAATAGACTTGTGTGTAAGCTATTGAAGAAAACAGTGCTCCAAATTTATAGTTATTGCCTATCTTCTTGAACTTTGTCATTTAATCAAATCTTTCACACAACAAATTATTTTTAACTCCCAAACAAATGCGAATGAAAAACATCGCGATCAGACTGTGGACTAGAGAGAAAGAGAAAAAAATCTCCTCTTTGTGTTTTTCAAATTTGGCTGCAGTCTAGTTTTTAGTGTGCAGGGTCTTGCATTGCCATGCAAAAATTTAACTTTTTGTGTCCCCTTGCCTACATGTTAATTTCAGACTGATTTCAGTGAGCCCTTCATTACTTGTATGCAAAACTTGGATGGCCACTTACACTTTTAATTTCAACTATGTTATATTACTGTATAACCAACACTTCTCTGACACTTCCTTCACGCGAGTTAATTAAGCCGAGCCGGAATATCCACCTAAACCATCTGGGAGACCAGGAATTGAAATTGAACAAGTTCAGGAATTTTCCGAAATACGTTTAATTATTATAGTTAGCGTGAATATGTTGGAAATACAGTCAACAAAATATATATTAACTTTTGGGTTCGTAAAAATTAAAACATTTCTTATCACCACAAAATCAATAACTTAAACAGTAAACCTCATGCTGACTGTAACTACATATAACTTTAATTATTTTTTGACAATACAAGTACAGTGTTATAATTAACGAATCTTTTCGATAATTGAAAGATTGCAATACCGTTCATTACATTACTAGTAGTAGGTAAGATACTAAACACTGTACAATACTGTCTGCATTATTGGTTTATTTCCTGTAATTTAGCTATATAGAGCTAACTTTAGTAAAGTACTATACTCAAGTCCACCTTTGTATTTTCTTCCTTGTTTAAAAAATCATTCATAAACTGAATTTTCTCCTTTTACTAGTAGATTTTGCAGAGTTTTCTCTATATGCACGATTGAAAATTACTTTGATATTAATGTCGTTGGAAATACCAACACTCATCGTAGTAAGGAGCGTCTAAGCAGCGTCCCTTGACTAATCTATAATATAATCGAGACGGGTTGATAATAATAATAATAAGTGCAGAGCCCAAACGGTTAGGAGTTGGAAGCTGAAATTTGGTACACAGTTAGGGTACGTCACGAAAACGCACACTAAGAACGGATTTTTCGAAATTCCTCCCGGGGGGGAGAAAGACAGGATTGTTACTTAGCACTTCCATCAACAATGGAAGTGCTAAGTAACAATGGAAGTGTTAAGTAACAATGGAAGTTTTAAGTAACAATAAAAGTTTTAAGTAACAATGGAAGTGTCAACAATGGAAATCTTACGTAACAATGGAATTGTTAAGAGAAAGCGACGTGCGATACGCAGATGCAGTTTTTCGTTTTTGCGGGAAATCGAACATATTTTTAGGCCCATCTAAAAATTATCTAAGGGGACCCAATTCTTGCATTCTATGAAAACGGATAAGGTTGACTGTAACGTAATAATCTTTATCTTAGTTATCGTTACTTTTGCCCGAGCAACGCCGGGCCTACCTGCTAGTATGTAATATTTCTCTTTATTTAAATATTGTTTCTATACAAAGTTATGGTAACGAAATAATGCAATTTTCAGTAGTGTTATTCGAGAATGCAGCATAGGTCTCACAGATATATATTATATTGAATATTTCAATCTTTCACCCCTAAACCCCTAACTGTCAAACTCAAAAGATTTGATGTGCAAAGAATTCGATTAGACTGGCAGAACCTGAAAACTTTTGCTCTTATCTATTTATCCTATAAAATTTACCATCGATGTATGCCTAAATATATTGTCTAATCAGTGACAATGTTAAACACCTAATTTTTTATTTCACAAATTATATAATTTGATTAATTAGTGATTTATCTTACAAAATGTATTATGTCTTATGCAATTATGTTATGTCGTGTTAATGTTTCATATAAATGCTAAAAGTAATAGTATAGTTTTTTATGTATAAATAATAAAACATAATATATTATGTAGTATACAGAAATGACCTTTCATTTATTCTTATAATTTAGGGAGGCCTTATAGTTGCTGGCATGTGTATACTTCAAGCAATATTCTGTCCTTATCTACTCATATTAACAGCTGTTCTTTCGATATCATTCTATAGTTTGTGGACGATCTATACTCGAGTGGTGAAAAGCATAAAACAAATGGAAGGAAAATGTAAGTATATAACACGTACTCTAAAATAGGTTATTGTACAAACTTAAAAGCAAGAAAAATCTTTCAACAGTAAACATTCATTACCGAAAGGAATTATACAGAAATACTCTCTTACGTAAGCGTATTGTATCAAAATTATTTAGTACATGTTACACTCTAATATATACGTCAATACTATTTATTTTAACAAAAGAAATTCCCAATCAAAGGTTGGCTAACATATGACAAAAATGTTATACATTGAACACTTTTCACTTACAAATATATTTAATACAGATTAATGGCAACTAAATTCTATAAATAGAGTTTAATAAGCAGTCAAAAATCTATAACAGAAAACTGAAAGGAGCAGAAGGCTCGAAATGTATTTCCTTGTATAGTCATTTACTGGTGTGTTCCTTGTGTTATTTGTTTACTTCAGGAAAATTTATGAAGATCAGTAACAAAGGGTAACAAAGGGTAGCAAAGGGTAACAAAATTTTGACTTCTACCACAATTTTGACTTCTTTAATGACAAATTTGTAATCATTCATTTTAAGTAATTTCTTATTTATTATATCATTGAATTTATTTAGGAAACAGTTGAAAAATCATCATTAATATCGGGATGTATCGAACATTATATCGGGATGTATCGAACATTATATTTAAGAAAGTTCTGCTTAAATAAGTGATTTAAATATATAAAATTTTTTGGCAGCGAGAAGTCCAGTATTTTCCCATCTGAGTGTATCGCTTTATGGACTGACAACAATTAGAGCATTTAAAGCCGAAAGTAAATTTAAATCTTCATTTAATGAGTATCAGGATAAGCATACTGCCACCTGGTTCGTCTATGTGGCTTTAAGTCGATGGGTTTTCTTATATGGTCACATAGTTTGTTTCATAAATGTAGTTATTACTGTTATTATATTCACTGTTTCGATTGATTCAGGTGAGTAAATATATTTAATTGTCTGTAGTCAATAATAGAAGTTATATTGAATTTATAACAACTTTAGATAATGCTGGAAGCCAAATCGCACTTGTTATGAATTATGGAGTATTATTTATTGTGTATTTTCCAGCTCTTATTAGAATGTCATCTGAACTGCAATTTCAGGTATTATATAAACATTTATATGCTATATTATATCATATTATATATAAACATTATATAACGTTGAATTACTTATCAGTGGTATCAAAACTTTTTTACTAACTAATAATTACGTCAAGAGAGATTCGTGATTCGTTTATCGGGAAATATCAAATTTAACAAATTATTTAAATACTTGCAAGGAATGATCTTTTTATCAAAATACAGTCACATTTTCTAACTATTTTATCCAATACATTTCATTAAAATAAAGACAAATAGAGGAATCTTTCTGATATTTTCATATTTTAAATACTTTTACACAATTAGAAAATAATAATTTCTCTTTATATTTAGTAGAGGAATGTGTATCACATGGACACATATTCTTTACTCACAATCAACAAAATATTTTCATTTCTGACCATTTACAGTGAATTTTCGATAAGAAATTCACACTAAATATTTCACGCGAAAAAAGCTTGTTATGAAATTAGTAAAAATTACATTGTCAATTACTACAAAGTATTAAACTTCAACATTTTTTACAAACAGTCTGTTTCCATACAATTACAAATCAAAATATCTTCGAATTGAAACCAACTTGAGACCAAACAAAATTAAGAAAAAAGATATATTAATCACTAAATTCGGTGATATTTTTCAATCTTATTTCTTCCACAATTTTGACTTCTTTAATGACAAATTTGTAATCATTCATTTTAAGTAATTTCTTATTTATTATATCATTGAATTTATTTAGGAAACAGTTGAAAAATCATCATTAATATCGGGATGTATCGAAACAATTACAGTTGTTTTGCTAAATACATTTGATAATATTTTAATTCATATACTGGCTATTTGTAATTAATAACCAATTCATTCAATTTTTTATAAGAGTAGACTGATGTTTGCCAGCTTAGTGTAAAATTCTTTCATTATTTCATTTATCTATAAATTTTCGTTATTTCTTAGTGAAAAATTCTTTCATTTCTTTACTCAAGCATCTACTTTTTATTTAATTTTCCAGGCAGCATACTTTTTATTTTTGAATTATAAAGTGATTTTTTTTCTGCCTGAAATATTCTGTTTTTTTGCGTAATTATTTTCATTTTTTCAGAAAGATTTAACACAACGTTTTCACTGTTTTCATTTGAAAATTATAAAAAATTTATGAATTCTTCAAACCCTTTGCTGCTTGTGTTTTGTCGTCAAAACTATAATCATCTTACAGATGCCAAGCTCCTGTCTTGTCATAGCCAGATTGTCACAGTGCATGAAAAATTACGATTACATTATCTATTTTTGTACTTTCTTGTTTATCTAATAATGTAAACTACTTGTGTTTGAAAAAATGAGTTCTGTCAGTGGAGTAGCGTAGGTGTCTGCCGCCTAGGACGGAGGAAAATTTCGCCGTCCCCTTATTTAGGTATCTCAATTTAAAAGACTAAATTTCAGTTTCGTCACAGAATAAGTAATGAAAAATTCCGTGCTCATTTCAATTGGTACGAGTCGTAGGTGAGACAAAAATATGAAATGAAATGGTTCAAATTTTTACAAGATATTATTATTATTTATTGTAAAATTTTGCTGCCCCCTAAAAGTGTCGCCCGGGCAGGCCGCCTTTCTACGCTACACCACTGAGTTCTGTGTATTTATTTTAATGTAATTCGATCTCAAAACACTGATAACAGACATATGTAATTTCCATTTATTATAATGTATTTTAACTTCATCCTATTGATATATGCTTAGTTTTAAATTATACAAAACGGTGTTATCTTTCTCGGTCAGGTAGTTAAACTATATTCATTTTTTTCCGAGAAAATGATAGAACTCGACACACTGCTACTATAAAAATCAATATACCGCTAATTGTTTTATGACTCTGTAAATATTTGACTCACATCTTGGAGAGATGTAGGTCAAAAAACAAGGAGAATGTGTTTTGTTATAACAGAAATCATTTGCCGTATGAGAAATGAAGCGATTACAAACATTCCTCTACTTCCGGGACAATATTCAGGAAATTTTTCTCAGTACGTTTTCATTCCGCTTTCAGCAACTCAATTCAAAACAAAAATCTTTATTTTGTCACAAGCTATTTTTTCGGGTTTGATTCTGCTTTATGACAATTATTGTTAATATTTTTTGTTTCTGTCATAAAAGTTCGCATATATTCGTCATATCTTTAGTTTTACATGTTGACTCTCATTTACAAAATGTCATAATTTTATTAGCAGATAACAGTTTTATTTCTAGACTTATGGTAATTTCATCCTAGGTCATCTTAATTAACTTCATCTTAACTGTTATAATTACAGTTAAAATGAAATTTTGAAGTTAAGATGAATTTGAAAGTTCATTACAATTCATTGTTTCTTTTAACTTAATTTTTGCGATCTACTAAACAACCATTTTCTGCCGTTATTTTATATTAGAAAAAAGAACATTCTGACTCACATTCAAAGAGAAAAAAAACACTATGCTTCGCTTGAAATGTATACACACTAAAGATGAGCGCGTAATTTACGCATTCATAACAATACAAAAACAAAAAGACAATGAATCTTGAAAATTTTTTTATTCTCTAACAGGTAACGATCATATGTGCAGCTGTATCGTTATAGATTATCAAGTAGAACAACATTCAGTCATATCTAACTCTATATATTATGTTTTACCTGCTGCAATTTTTCAAAATACGATAAAATTTTCAAGCTTCGTTGTATTAGTATTGTACAGCTCCTAAGAGAAATTTTAATGTTTGAAATTTATCCATATCCTTTTCGTCAATTTCAGTAATTGCATAATTGGGTTTAAAGCAGTGTTGCCGTTCCTAGTACATTTGTACTTTTCTGGTACATTTTGCCCTTTCCAGTAAATTGAAAGTACATTTAGATTTTTAGTACATTTTCAGTACATTATAATATTTCAAGTACCATTTACGGTACAAAATAATATTTCATGTCTTAACGAAAAATGAGAAAAATTAGTTTAATAAAGTCTCACTAGTGTCACTGCTTGCTAATTTAAATTATCCAATCACAACATACAAATGGTGTGTGTCCGTCGACGTCATACACGTCGCCTACACGTGCAACATACATAGTTGCACGTGTAAACAGTCTTGACTCAGTGGTCTTCCTTCATACGTTCAGTTGTCTGCACATTCTCATCAGGACCTTGACAAAATTTTTCATGCCACGTGGTCCAAACAATTCAACTCCGTCAAACAAAAATAATGGACAGGTAAGGAAATCAATGATTTT